TCCGGCTCCACGCTGCCTCCCGAAGTCGCCCGTGGTGAGGTCGGCCTGGCGCTGTCACGCAGGTGTCTCCGCGCCGGGGGCCGGGAAGCGACTCACGGGCGGTGACCGGCGTGTTTCTCTGGCGCAGTGGAGCGGGCTGGAGGCGCCCTTTTCGTTTTGGCTGTTGTGAGCATGTTTGTGTGTTTGAGAGACTCGCATGACGGCGCGAGAGGGACTCTTTAGTCTTGGATTTCCGCACCGCTGTTTGGCTGCTTCGTGTTCCGTCCTGCCCGCGTTTAGCCTTCCTCCCGCGTCTGACGGTCCTGCCTGGTCTGCTCGGTTTCTCACTTCACTCCCACTCCTCCCCCGAGGGCGATTTGGCTTCCAGTACACTTAATTGTCTCTTTTCTTGATCAGCGGCGATCTGCATCCTACTAAAGCCAATGAACACTTCTGACACGTTTCCCCTAAACAGTGTCATTTATTTCTGTGATTTTAAACGTCACCTGTATGAGGACAACTTTCTTTCTTTTTTTTTGACTTGGAGTGTCACTCTGTCGCCCAGACTGCGCCCAGACTGGCGTGCAGTGGCCACTCCTGGCCACCGCAGCCTCGACCTGCTGGGCTCCGGCAATCCTTCCGCCTCAGTCTTCCAAGTAGCTGGAACTACAGGTGCGCGCTACCACGCCCGGCTAATTTTTGATTTATTGTAGAGATGAGTTCTGGCCAAGTTACCCAGGTGGGTCTCGAATCCACGGGCGCAGGCAATCCACTCACCTCGGCCTCCCAAAGCGTGGGATTACAGGCTGAGCCACCGAGCCCGGTCGAGGACAACTTTCAAACTTATATATCCATCCAAGATCTCTTTATTTACTAGTTACTTTTTTTTTTTTTAGAAAGTAGGATTTATTGAGGACAGAAAACTTCCCCAGTGGGAGGGGGTTACCCTTATTTATTTTTGAAGATCTTTTCTTTGAATCTAATTTTTTATATTCAGTCATTCTCTTGATATCCATTGGCATGTTACATAGACATCTCAGGTTTAACGTGTTTAAAGTGAAACTCTTCATCTTTGCTCAAACTCCAGTCTTCCTCATCTTGGTAAATGGCACCACGGTTCAACCAAAGGCGAAAGCCAAGTGCCATGGTAGTGAGGTTTCAGCTCCACACCTAGTACACCCACGAATTCTGCTAGTTATACCTCCAGAATATCGCTTGAATTCACCTGACCTCCATTTTCTTGGGTTCAGGTCACCATTGTTTCTGGCCTGATTTTGTATAAAACTTTCCTGTTTGGGCTCTCTACCTGTTTTTGTTCCTGTCCAATCTACAATCCACCCAGCAGTAAGTATGACTCTTAAAGCTTAAAATCAGGCCAGGCGCAGTGGCTCAGGCCTATAATCCCAGCGCTTTGGGAGGCCAAGGTGAGAGGATTGCCTGAGCCTTTGGGTTTGAGACCAGCCTGGGCAACATGGCAAGACCTCATCTCTACAATAAATCAAGAAAAATTAGCTGGGCATGGTGGCATGTGCCTGTGGTTCCAGCTACTTAGAAGACTGAGGCAGAAGGATTGCCTGAGCCCAGTGGGTCAAGGCTGTGGTGGCCATGAGTGTGCCGCTGCACTCTAGCTGGGCAACAAGAGTGAGACTGACTCAAAAGAAAAAAAAGTTAAAATTACGCCACAAGCCGGGCTCGGTGGCTCAGCCTGTGGTGAGTGGATTGCCTGAGCCCAAGGGTTCGAGACCTGCCTGGGCAACTTGGTGAGACCTCATCCCTACAATTAATCAAAAAATTAGCTGGGCATGGTAGCATGCACCTGTAGCTCCAGCTACTTGGAAGGCTGAGGTGGAAGGATCACCGGAGCCCAGCAGGTCGAGGCTGTGGTGGCTGTGAGTGGCCACTTCACTCCATTCTGGGCGACAGTGAGACTCCAACTCAAAAAAAAAAAAAAGAAAATTACGCTACAGCACTGTTCTGCCGAAAACCTTTCAGTGTCTTTCCATTGTACTCAAAATAAAACTTAAACTTTCTTCTGAATGTAGTTCTGCCCACTATTTTAGCTCTTCTTGGGGTATATTCTACCTTGTTTTTTTGAGCCAATAACCAGTGGCACCCTAAGCTTGTTGTTGGCAGAGTGTCTTATACTTTTTGCTCCCACTAGGGAATGTTCTTTTTTTTCTTTCTTTCTTTCTTTTTTTTTTTTTTTTTTT